TGCAGTAAGGTGACAGCCAGCAGTCAAAACGCATGTCTCCTGCTCAGCTCCCCGTGATGTGGTTGCAGAGGACGGGCACCAAGGGGGGATGCACACACATCCCCCACCAGCTCCAAGAAAATAAAACATACCTGCCTCGCACTCCTGAGACATAAATCACCAAGAGCTGTTATTAGAGGAACTTGGCGGGTGCACACGTGTCAGCCCGGTTGAAAACATCTTCGTCTTCGCTTGGCTCTCCAAAACGGCACGGGGTGGGGGAAGAGGTACAGCCAGGTTGACTCACCACTGAGAGGGGATGTGACTGATGGGGAGAGGAGATACCAGCGACCGCACAAACCACACGCCAAACGTCTGGAGGCTGGAGGTTGCGCCGGGGGAAGCGAGAGGGAAACAGGCCCTCGCCTGGCAGAGCTGGTGAAGGTGGGCGGGTGCTTCTGTAGCAGAGCAGGCTGCTGGTCACCCCGAGTTTTTAACTTGCAAGCTCTCTCCATCTCAACTCCCTCGATCCCCAGGCCTGACATTCAGTCCCAGCTGGACAAATCAGCCAAGTCTGAGTTGTAAGAGAACCAGGAAGGAGGGAGACATGCTGGAGGGGACATGCCGGAGTGGAACCTATCTCCCCCATGGACACAGCTCCAGCTGAGGAGCCAAGCTACGTGCCTGATGCAACACGTGTGTGCCAGCTCTGGGAAAGCTGCTCCACCCCAGCGCAGCTGCAGGTGATCAGTAGCACCTTCACAGCATCCCCAGGCTGCCCTCCGTGCCAGCTGCTGACCCAGCACAGGAGTGACAGCAAGCTCAGACACCCATGAAGGGTCAAGGACAGTGACGTAGAGACATCACTCAATGGTGAATTCACTCCCCTGGCCCAATTTTCCAAACCAGCCAGCAGCTCCAAAGCCTTTGCTCACACCTTGGGGGCAGCTCTCTGGTTCCTGCCGGGACAACATGTGCGACACTGACTGCAAAGTGCCCCTGACACAAGCAATCTTAGCCTGAGAAACCACAGCCTCGCCACCGGAAAACTGGTGGCCTCCAGCACCCCAGAAGAGGTGAAGTAACTCTCCTCCATCGGCCCCGTCTGCCCGTTACGGGTTTCTGCTACTTATGAAACATTTCCAACCGCCAGAATCTTGCCCCATCCTCCCCGGGGCCACGATGGACGGACAGGCTGCCAGGAAACGGGCTGGCGTCACCACAGAAGGGGCCTGCGCCGAAAAGCCTGGCCCTGCGGTCCCTCCAGTCTGAGACCAGAGGGGTTGGGAAACACAGCGGCGAGGCTTTGGGTTTGTTTCCACGGGATGTTTTCAACTCTGGGCACCCCAGGGAGCTTTGCAGTCCTGGAGCAGGCGTGGTCTCAGCTGGCTGCTGGGCTCTGGCACGGAGCAGGAGCCGCAGCCGCCCTTGGCCGGGAGCATGGCCACCTCTTCCCCAGTTCAGCTCGTAGCACCTCACATGCAGCCAACTGGGACACCAGTTCACACCACAAACAGCTGGAGAAACGCTTACATCCTCCTGAGTCCCTTTTCCCAGGCTGGGAGGGGAACCAGGCGAAGTTCAAGCACAGCAAGTACCCACTGGCTGCCAGCCCCCGTGGGGCCATGTCCTGCCACCGGTGGGACAGCTGCTGTTCCAGGACCAGCTGTCCCTGTCCATGTTCACCACCATCAGTGCATCCCCAAGCCTTTAGGGCCCCCCCCAGCACACACCTCCCCATCTCTGCCCAACGACACACGCAGCACGGCAAGGCACAGAC